CCTTCATCCTCCAGAGTCATTTGTGTTGTTTCCATCTCTTCTCCTCTTTCTTCCTCTCGTTGCTTTCATTAACCGTTCCTCCCTGCCTTAACCTGATACTTCTAGTTTCGTTATCTGGTTTCCTTTGCTTTGTTTGTGTGATAAACCGCCCGAATCGTCCACCTTAAATTTGAACAGTTTGCTCCATTAAGCAGATGTATGCAAGCGATTATTGGCGTGAGAGTTTAAAATTTCGATGCGATAAGCAAATATTTGAGTAAATCAGTAAAAAAAAATGTTAGGCGCACCAGTTCTGGACATATCGGGCAACTTGAAATTGACAACAAGCTTTTCGTGGGAGGACCAAAATGAAGATAAGAGTCGCTCCACAAATTAATAAATACTTATTCGAGATTTGAGATAATCTTTGGTGTAGTAAATCAGTCGTCACCCTGTGACACCACATGAAGAAATGAATGAATGGAGAATGATGTGCGAGAACTCCGATCACGATCACATGACCTAGTGAAGTGTGATGATGAGAACGGACAAACGTGTGTGTGTGTGTGGTGCATTATTTCTTTGGCGTCCATGGTAACCGTTGTTTCGTTGACACCGGTGAAATGGTAAAACACAAGGCGCAAAGGAAGATTCGACACTCACCTAGTTAACATTGAGATTTGGCAGTCGGGTTTCAAAGAAGGAAATTTGTGCACGGAATTTCCATGTAACCATTCCGCGTTGGCGGTTAGGTACTACAAACGAAATCATTTTTTTTTTCTTTGGAGAAGAAACTCGATAAATGAAAATGCTATACCGTAACATTCGTTACACACGTACGGAGTGAACGAACCGTTGAACTTAAGAAAATCACTTCCACCTTTGGGTTAGGTGTTCATGCATTTTCTGAAAAAAGGATTGTTATTGTATATTCATTGCATGCGCGCAGTTGAATAGTAAGAAGGAAATAAATACCACATCACTTCTTTTTTTTTTTTTTCGACGAACTTTGCTGAACAGGAAGAGGGAAATAAATAATAAATACCACCACATCACTTCTTTTTTTTTTCGATGAACTTTGTTAAAGTTTTTGACAGCATGAAATCGCAAAAATACAAGTCACAACTCTCAGCACACCAAGGCACAAGACACAATAGGACCCGCAACCCATCCCCCTCCCCTTCCACTAGCGTTTGCGAGGAGACCATACGTGTCAAGGAGGTCTTAAATCTCTTTCCGCCGCCTTGCGATGCCAAGAGGTTTTACGAGCAGAACCCGCCTAACGTGAAAAATGGGCACGTCAAACGCCCGTGCAACAAATTCATGATCTTTCGTAAGTTGGCTCACGATCAAAAGAACAACAGCGAACTGTCAGGATACAACGAGCGCGAGTTCTCCAAGCATCTGGGTATCATTTGGACTGATTTGATCACGGATGAGCAGCGAGGAATGTACGAGCAGCTGGCCAATGAGGTTTTCGAGATACATAAGGCGAAAAATCCGGATTACAAGTATCAACCAAAGCGAGACAGAGCCGCGTGGAAGAATTTGACGCCGGCTGATCAAAAATTAGAACAACAACAAGAACAAATCCCATTCGGCGGTGATCCCAACGCCGAAGAGATATGTTTTCAAATTCCACATCAAGCTCAACAACAACCGTTTATTCTAAACACAATCTGCTATGACCAGCAATTTATGGAATCGAGTAACGGCTGGCAATATCCTCATTGGAACTATATAAGTCCACCTCCATTTCAATGAGAATTGCCTGTCCCGTTAACATCTAATGTATCTATTGTCATCTAACATGAACTATCTATCTATCTATCTATATATATATTCTCTCTGTATCTTTGTATTTTAGGATATCTATGTACTCATGTATCTATATTCTTTCTTTCATAAATAAGTTTTTCCTCGAGTATAAATTGTCGATCAAAGTTTACCGAATAAATCACTAAAAATCAAATAAAAAATCAAATAAAAATCAAAATTCAGTGCTCGTGTAATTCCTTTGGGTACCGCGGCACGCGAAATCGCGAGATTGCTCGATTACGCTTTTTGCTTTTCTTTTCTTTTTTTTTTCGGAATTTCCCCAGTACGAAACACCTTGGTGTCACCAGAGAGAACAAAGGAAATGGTGCCAAGAAATCGATCACCGTCCACATCCCTCCCATTATTCCATGTTTTTTCTCCATGGAACGTCGACTCCAGGTGTCTTTGTTGTCGGAATTTACGCCGTTATGTAACGGAAATTTGTTATGCATGACTATGCATGATTATGCATGAATTCCGTGAAAATTTTTTTGAAGTTCTCACTTTTACAGAAACGTGTGTCGTGCGTGCAATTGACACTTTCTCAAATGTCCCCGAGATGCCAGACACCACCATCATTAATGCGTGCATGGTTAATTGCAGTAGACACAAAAGGAAACAAAAAAAAAAAACGCACATTTCTCGACAGATTCGCCAATTCACTGCTGCGCAAATGCATGCGCGCATTAAAATTGTTCAACTCGTGTCTATACGCATATGAGAGTCATGTTTCTCTCCTTCTCAGCGAATGACCAAAACAAACATGCTTGATTTCCCATTTTATCCAAAAACCATTTTCACTATAGAAAAATTTAATTCACGTATTCACGTATTCACGTGGAATTTGAATTCAATGACCCTGTTTTATTGTGTTTATTGTACACGAAGCAGAATTTACTTGACCCGGTGAATATGAATTCACAGGGAATCCCATAACTACAAATAGGCGGTGAAACATTAAAAATATCATGGGATGGTCGAATGACACACGATAATCCCGAATGAACAATATGTAAAAAAAATAAAGAAATATTTATTCATTATAGTCAGAGGTGAAATCTAAACAACTCACTCCTACCCGCTCGGCTAATTGATGAACCTCGGCCGATGTCCTTTTATCACGCGCAATCTGCTAGTTTCGAAGAGATTGTATAGATTGAAATATCTTAATTCTTGTACGCATGACACGAATTGATCGAATTGCGCCTAGATAAGCATCAAACCACCGCCCAGAATTAACCACCGCGATTTTTTTACTTGTCTTCACCGGGGTGAATTGGATGTGAATCGAGTGAAGTGAATTAGGTTTCGTACAACCTATAAAAATTAAAATAAGTAAGCAAAATGTGATGGTGATAAATAAATAAATATAAATCCCATCAGCTGTCGTACAAAAAACATCTATATAAACTCACTGAATCGTAAAAATCTCAGCAGAACGAAAAATATATAAAAATCACGAATTTGCTCTCATTAACACTAACCGAAGAACGAAAAACATTTAAAAAATCAACGAATTTGCTCCCATTGACACGAACCGAAATACACTTTATCATGGATCGAACAGAAGAGGCAATCACCAAGGCAAGTAACAATAGGTTTCATAAAAATTCTGTGAGAACACTTGGTGACCCCCAAAAATGATATCAAAAAAAGTGTCTAAAAAAATGAATGAAGAAGTTAGTTAGTTGTCAACTTTTTGCCACCGGAAAACGTTTGAAAAAAAGTAAAAGCAAACGCATAAAGGCATTCGAAATTCTTCCCAGATAAGAAAGAAAATACAATCAGACCTCTCTAAATGTACTGCGTCGGACCATATGCGTTTAAAGGGGGTATTAAACGTAAAGAGGCATTGCATGAAGAGAGGAAAAAAAAAATCAACAAGTGTTCGAGAGGTATTTCGTAGAACGTGAATTAAGGAGGGGTACATTTAAAGAGATCTGAATAAATACTCTTATTTTTTAACAATAGGAAAAGGCTATGCCTAACCTCCCAGAAGCGGAAGAAAGGGAACAAGCGGAAGAAAGGGAACAAGCTGAAGAGGGGGAACAAGCTGAAGAGGGGGAACAAGAGGAAGAAAGAGGAGAAGAGATGGAAACAACACAAATGACTCTGGAGGATGAA